ACAAAGAAGAAGTGCTGAATAGCATTGACTGGAACAACTGGCTTCATGCCCCAGGAGTGCCTAAAACTAAACCAGTGTAAGCGAAGACTTAAGTATTATGGTACTAGTTCTTTCACTGAAACAAACGAGCAACGTGACTAAAAATGATAGAGCAGGTTCTAGTGCGTACCAGTGAATGAAATCGTTCATCTTGCTTCTGTGGAATTCTCAGAAGAGTGAACCATGAGGGCCTTGTCAGAGTGGTTACTGTTGGTAATTGCTATCATCCGCACTGTTTCCGGGTGTCGCCGACTTTCGCAGAAAGTAAATATAGAAAGTGTTTTGACTTCAATCACTGCTTATGTTACTTTTGGCCATTTAGCATATTCATTTGGTATAGAATTATAGTTGTTGGCTTCCTGATTTGCAGTTTGCGGCTATTCCATTTTAAGATTTAAGATATTTCCTCCAAGATATTTCTCAATATTTTAGAATTCTTAATATGACTTGGATCTAATTGTCAGAAAGATCTTTAAGAAGTTTAATTTTAACTGATAAATGATGATGTGTTGGAAAAGTGCTTCAGAAACACACCCTTTTATCAAGGATATGACTTCAAATTGATTACAGATTTGATGATACAGCAATGCGTGATGCGATTGCATTGGCGCGTCAGTGGGCTGAGATGGACGATGGCGATTTAGCAAAGATTGATAGTTCGCGGTACAACTCTTTATCAACTTTGCAAAAAGTAAAAGTACTGGATCATCTGCGACTGGTCAGCTATTCGTTATTTTAATGAGTTTTCATTGTTCTTGAGAGAATGAAATATTTCTTTCACTTCTGTATCATTTTTTTTTTTTTTTTTGTTCCGAGCAAGTAACGTAGAAAATGCGGGGCACCCACTCAAGCTCAGTCCGATGGCCCGAGTTTGCTGATAGTAGAACCAGTTACCTGCGTAATTGCTTTCGATATTAAATGCTGAAGTATCGAAAAACACCACCGACTTGCTTTCCAAATATATCTCGGAAGGGGCCATCGTTATTTTTGTTAGTGGATCCGCGATCTAGCTACTTTCTTGTGCATTCACTTCCCAAAACGAAAAAGTGCGAAGGCGCTTAATTTCGGTTTTACATTATATCATTTGGTGATTGCTTCATTTATCTTGAAATGCGCGGCTTCAGATTTCTCCTGAATTTTTAGAAATTCGCCTCCATCGGCAGATGTTTTTCACGGCATCAAAATCCTTAGACGAATTAAAAAAGGGTAAGGTGCCGCCAAGTAACAGAACAGTTGTGAATTTTATAAATCCTCATTTCATGAAACATTTGCAGGCGTCGAATGCGCTGTCCCACGAAAAACTGGCGCATCTTGACAAAGTAAATAAATTCTCAAAGGCTGGAAACTATGATATTTTGTCAAGTTGGATCCAGTTAGGGCTAAAAAATTACTGGGAGGATATAATCCCACTTGCTTTGGATTTTGTCACAAAACAAGGACGATTGAAATATGTGCGACCGATATACAAGTGAGTTCCTATACGTCGTTAAGTAGTTCATGTCAAATTGTAAGCAATTGTTAATGGAAAATGAGGCACTATCGCGAATGGCCTGCGCCGCAAATTTTTTAAGGATCTCAGGATACAAAAAAAGTTAGTAAAAATTTCAGATGGTCTTTGGATAAATGCCGACCAGTGAATTCATTATTATCATTATTATTGTTACAGCTATTATTGTTGTTATTATCATTATTATTACTATTATTATTATCATTATTATCATTATTACTGTTATTATATTTAAAAAAAGATTTTGTTGTTTAGTGGTGACAGATAATGTCATAACAATATTAAGATCTTTTTGCAGGAGCTTATTTTTATGGACCGCAAGTGCTGGTCGAGCAATCGAGACGTTCATGAAGAATGCTCCTTACATGCATCCAATCACTGTATCGACAGTAAGCAAGCTGATACCTAAATGAAACACTGATCTCTGCGTAGCAGTGCTTCACACGAATGATTTTTATGCATTTATGAAAATCTGAAAACGGATTTTTATTTGACCCAACATGCGCATGTGTGTAGTGCCCATTTTCAAAGACAAATTTTGGTTTCTGACAGACAAAACTGTGCAAAAAACGCACTGATGCTTTGGTGTGCATTGCTTTTTCTCCTTTTTGTATCATTCCTGCTTCAGTAAATTTTTACAA